TTTTAGTGTTTATGTACAAGCACAAGACAAAAAGACAAAGCAAAGATGAAAACTGGCACAAAGAGACCTTAAAATGATTGCCATGGTGATTCTACTGTAGAAATGGAGGCAATAACGCTAAAAGCCTGACTGCTCATCACTGTCTTTGTTGCTTGTTAAAGTTCAGGGTCTGGCTGCTGGGCTCGGGTCAAAATGCACTCAACTTTAACATCAATCTGAGTTTTTTGCCAGCTTTGCATTAGGACCCTGTCTGATACTTCTCAGCATATTCCATCTGTTTCTATCCTGCATGCAGTTTGCACTTCAGCAGTAATTATAAAAGTAATGCTGATCTCTCCAATGCTCAAAAGTTGCACACCTCAATGCCAAATTTCCTCCTCCTGCATGTGAACAGAAATTGGGAACAAAACACAAGTTTGTTTGTGCTTTTTTTTTTGTCTTTCCATGTTCCCGGCGTGCAGATAACTTAAGAACCTTTACAACCTGAGTAACAACATAATGTACAACAATCACTGAATTATGTACAGTAACTTGTTACATTACTGCATTACCCAACACTGTATTAATCAGGTAGTTGACAACTTCTTTCTTTATTTAAATAATCAGGACCTTGCAAAATGTCTGGCTGGCAACAAAGCTTTTATGTTGTTCAGCAATAACTGTGTCCTCACAGGTGTGCAAGTTACCTACCTGCACTACCAGCAGAAAGGTGCTGTCTACAGATTTCAGATCTCTTAATTAAACTTCGAGTTAAGTTTTTTTGTTTTGAATTTGTGTAATTTTTCTAATTGTTCTTCTTAAAAAAATCATATGTTTATATCAATGTGGACACCAGGACAAGCTGTGCATAAATGTGCAGATGCCGTTTCCTCCTTCATTATTCTATATTGTAAATATAAATCAATATAACAAAAAATGTTGTGAGTATTTTTGGTCCTACACTCCAGCCCAGCTTCCTCCTCTTTTCACTGTTGGTTTTTCCATTCACACTGTTTTAAATTCCCTTTTATAAAGTGCTGCGTAATCAGAGATCTTAATTAAAATTTCTCTTTGTAATTCATGAATTATTCGAGCGGATTTGATTTCAGGTTTTTACTCCCTTTGCTTGTACACTTGATAAGTTAAGACTTGTTACAAGTTTTGCACCCTAAAACCAAAACGAAGAAAAAAAGTGATAATGTGGAGAATGGTTTAAGATCTCTGGATAATTTTTCCACAGAGAGAAAAAAAAGAAAGAAGCCGGTTATAACCTAGTGTAGGATCTGTGTTGTGCAGAAGGGTGTAAGAGAGGAGAGGTTGCTCGACAGTCTCTTTACGATTATCTTGGCTGAGACTCGTACCTAATTAAGGTTTTATTAAGCTTTAGAAGTTGGCTGCAGTGGTGTGCTGCAAGGCATCACTGTCCTCTAAAGAGGCGTTTACCAGGCATGTTTATGCAAATACACATTTAAATGCACATTAAAAAGTCGGAGTTTAGCTGTTTAATCAGCCGTCACATTATTATTTTATTATTGTTTGGTTGATGATGCCAGCTGAAATATTAATGAGCTGGTTTAAAGGAAGCCAGCGAGAGGAGCACAGTAAAGTGCCTCTCTCAGCACTGAGGGAACCATGCTAGCAGTGGGAGGAAGAACTGCCTAATTAAATATAAATGGCCAATTACTCCACAGACTAGAGAGGCAATGGGACATTGTTCCACAAATGAACGTTATGAGTCAAGATGCTGCTTTATAGGTATTTATCAATTGTGAACCGTTAACATTAAACGACAGTTATATTGCAAGACTGAGAGGAAACAACCTGCATCAGAGAAGCTTCAAAATTGGTGGAATAATGGTGCATTTAAATCCAAATTCTTACCTTGATCATGCACATAAACACAACCACGAAGGAGATGCATAGAGAAAGAATGAGTGAAATGAAAAAAAAACAACCCCCAGACAAAATACAAAGGAGGGAATTCTTCCACAGGTTTTCTACTTGAAAAGCATCATCAACAGTTTAGTGAAATGACAAAGAAACACTTTACAATTCACTGACCCAAAATCCACAGGATTTAATTAAGCTCAGATTTTCTGTCTTGTTCTTCAGACCTTGTGTTTGTGTTGGTCTCTTACCTTTGAAATCATCGTATATGATCCCAAACAACTGTTTGGCCTGGGGCTCTCCTGAGATCAAAAGTTTCAGCAGCCCTTGAGGGATGAAGCAATCTCTCTTCAAAAGTCAGCTCCAGATCATTCACTGTGCTATAGCCATCTACAGCACCATAGCTTCACACAGCAGGAGCTAGTATACCCTAAAGGTCAGTGTCAGTACTATAGAGGTGCTTATTGGAGGAGGTGGCAGGGATTCCCACTAGATCCTACCTTAAAAAAGGGGATTGCTTTGTTCTATAAAGCTGACAAAATCTTTTAACTAGTGCAGTGTTTCTTCACTGGTCAGACAGCAGATTTTACAAGCATTTATATGCAGCAAAGAAAGTACAGGTATGCCACACTTGGCTTCAGCTTGGTATAGCTGACTTTTACATGTAATTTTGTTGCATAAGTACAATGCAAAATATAAAATCTTGTGGAATTGGTCCAACATAAATGCAATTGACTGGATACACTGACTGGATATATTCAGTATATATCAAGCATATTTCCTTATTGTTTAATAACTTGAAATTAAAAAAAACTTTCATTTTAGGTAATCATCTTTTAGTTCTTTTTTTAAAAGCATATTTTTAGCTTTTAAGATTAATATCTGGTCCTGAAACACTGCCAATTAATTATAAACAAATGTGCACAAAAGTTACACAATAAATGATCATATTCAAATTCGCATTATACCAGAGGCTAAAGACAAGCCACTAATCTCACCACAGTGCTGCAGTGAGACTGTGGTGAGACTTTGGTGGTCCAAAGTAAAGAAAGGACAATGGCGATTTCATACACATTAATATAGAAATTTTAACATATAACTGGGTAAACTTATGGTAAATATTGTATTAACAAATTTAAAGCTATGCAGAAAATTGGTGACAACCCTGTTTCAGTAACTAGAGGCAGAGAATAAAATCCACAACATTGCGACATATTTAGCAAATCTTGTGTCCAGACAGGGACCGAATGAAACATTGCACATAATTTTATTTTCATATGTAGATAATGAAATCTGTTAGGGAGCTCAAATGAATAAAGTCATTACATTTCACGGGGTATCTTCCATGCTGGCTTTTTATAACGTTTTTATAAATTCAGGACATTGTCCCCTGTTAATCTCATCACGATAAATTTGTCTGACCAGAGATGAATCACTGAGTGATTATTTCACATTTAAAATCCCACCTCGCCTTTTCCCTTTTTGCTTCTCCTCTTCTCTGTCTTCATCCTCCTCACGACCGACTACTTCCCATTCTGCTTTTTCAATGCCATGGTGCGCTACAAATGAGCAACAACTCAGAAATCAATCTATATTGATGCTGCACAGATTATCTCAGGTTTTTGTAAAGAAACAGAGAGACTACAAAAATCAAAAAAAGATTTGTGGAATAAAGCCTTTGCTAATGCAGATTCCATTCATGCATTCTAATGTAATACGATATGTGTTCTTTCTGCATTATAATGTGTTGATCAGACAGAACACGACGGTGTTTAAAATGTGGGAAAAACACGGAAACAGCACTTTCTTTTTTTCAGGAGCATCTTCAGTGTGAAATTCATCTTCCTTTTCTACTCTGCCCATTTATTTCTGTGCCATCCTTTATGCTATTTGCTTTTTCTGTCCAGCCCTTCTGCATCATTCATTGTCTTAGATAAAAAAAAAAAGATTAAAAAATGGCTCTGCTTTTGCTAACAGACTTAAATTTAGCCTTATGGTTCATGTTGACAGACAGGCCATCATGTAGCTGAAGACATATATTTAGTTATTTTTTCCAGTTTTCATTTTTCACCTTAGGCTGCCAAGGTTAAGTGATGGTGAAAGTTTCTTCTACTGCCTGCATCACAAGTAATATACTCTTTCTAGCTTGTGTAACTCAAGTGAACGTCAAAAGGGCTACATATTAACAAAATGTCTTTTCAAATTTTATTTCGCTATGCTCATTCTCTTGACCGTGGTAAAATTAAATTTTTGTTTTTGACCATGAGTCTCGCATACATGTCCCTCAAATTTATGGGAGAGTGAAACGCCACAGTCATCAATGACACATCAAGAAAAAATGAGCTACATTTCATGATGAAATTCTTAGCACAACATATAGCATAGATAGCTTTCCTTTCAGCTGTTGTTCATGTGAGGCTGGAGGCTTTGTGGTCACAAGTCTCATGTACATGTTTACTGTTCAAAAATTGTAAAGGAACACTTTTTAACCAGAGTGTAAACTCAGCTAAGTAAACTTCTGGGATATTGATCTGGTGAGTTAAGTAGCAGAGGGGGTTGTTAATCAGCTTCAGCTGTTTTGGTTATAATAAAATTAACAACAAGTTCACTAGAGGGGAAACCCAGAGACAACCCAGCAACACAGAAATGGTTTACAGGTGGAGATATTGACATATTTCCCTCCTTATCTTTTCTGTCTGTTTTCTCATTAGTTTTGCATTTGACTAGGTCAGTGTCACTACTGGTAGCATGAGGCGATAACTGGACCCTACAGAAGTTGCACAGGTAGCTGTTTGCTGTCTCCCAGCACAGTCTGAGGAGCATTCAGGAGATTCCTTGAAGGGGGGGGGGGGCATGACTCTAGCAGATAAGGGCCTAGCTATAAGGCCCTTAAACCATCAGTAAGACTAGTATCTACACCTTTATGCAATGACTGCCAGGATGAGCATTGCCGGTGCCCTACAATATGACCCCCAGCAGGCCTTGGTGAAGATGTCAGAAACAGACGTCATGAGGGTGTCCGACATCATCTAGTGGACCCTGTTCTCACGGGCACAGTGGAGTCTGACAGGGATTTGCCACAGAATTGCAGATTTGGCAATTCCACCGCTAGCGCCCCGTCCCTTTTACGGATAAGAGTAGGTTCACCCTGAGCACATGTGGAAAAACATGAAATGGTCTGGAGAAGCTGTGGAGAACGTTATACTCTGTAACATTGTTCAGCATGAGCGATTTGGGGAGGGATATCCATGGAGTGACGCACAGACCTATACAGGACGGGCAATGGCACTCTGACTGCCAATCCTTCTCAGAGCCTACACTATTGCAGTGGGTCCTGGATTCCTCCTGGTGCACAACAATGCCCGACATAGAATGCAGACAGTTCCTAGAGGAGGAAGGAATTGATACCACTGACTGACCCCCACGTTCACCTGATCTAAATCCAATAGAACATCTCTGGGACATTATGTTATGCATCTGACGTCAGGGTGTCTTTGAATTCAGCCCAGTCCAGTCCATATCAGTATAGATATCCAGAATGATTTTTTCCCATTGACGTCTCACATGTTTTCAGTGTTCCCTTAACTTTTTGTGCAGTGCACGTCACACATGTGGTTGACAGTCATATCAAAACCAAAAAAGGGATAAGAAAATAGCTCTTTCCTCAACTAAAAAAAATACTAATTGAACAATGTCGATCTCTGTTCCTTTACTTGGTCCTACTGCAGTTTCTGTCATCTCAGTTAATATGACGCTGCCATTAGTTTGAATTTTGATACATTTCTTCTTTTTAAAGTAGCCCAATTTTTAATACTTGTCAAGTGATATTGTTAGCTTGTAAGAAAAGTTTTCTGCTGTATGTTTTATTATATAACTAACAAACTGACCACCATCAAATACCTTTTCCTTCTCTATGACTTTCTTCCCCCATGCCCGAGGTTGTTAATGTCATGTGCCCATGATTCTCATGAACATGTCCGGCAGACTTGTGGTGGTCTGAAACAGCCGTTGTCACTTTTAATAACTAAAACTTGGAAACATTAAAGTTTATCCATTGCATATTTCACTCACTAGCTACCCAATCACATCTACCACTATATCTAAATTATATACCTTGCCTGGGTGTATGCTCCTCGCCATGCTCAGATGAGGTTCTGTGGCCATGTGTGTGTCCCTCAGAGCTGTGCGAGACTGGCAAAATAATTGTTATCAACATTAGAAGCAAAAATTTCTACAATTTCCAAGACTGTTAGTACAGGTGTACTACACAAGGAACTATAACTGCAGTAAAACAATCCCAGTCACAGATACCTCTTCTTTCTGTATGCCTCTCTTCCTCCCTTCCATTTCCATGTGTTGTTATGTGGCCATGGGCCTCATGCTCATGTCCATGAGACTCGTGGTGGTCTGAAACAGCAGTTGTTATTAACGCAAACAGTTTAACAACTAAAGCTTGGGAACATTCGTCTCACATCTGAGACCCCATTTCTCTCTTTTGGCATTAAAAAAAATGTAATTAAAGTATATCTACTGCGTATTTCCATCACATGGGTGATCACTACCACTACCCCTATATCTAAAAAAGATATACCTTGTCTGTCTGTATGTTCCACCTCTCCATGCTCAGATGAAGCTTTGTGGCCATATATGTGTCCCCCAGAGTTGTGTGAGTCTGACAAAATAATTGCCATTGGTATTAGACAAAAACATTTCTGCTGTTTTCAGTATTCAGGTGGAATTTTCTTCTAAGGGTTGCTATGCTTTATTTATGGAGAAAGATCACCTGACAGTACAGGTGTACAATAATATACACTCACCAGCCACTTCATTAGTTACACCCATTGAGTTGTTTGTTAATAATGGAAATATCTGATCAGCCAATCACATGGTAGCAACTCTATGTATTTAAACACATAGACATGATCGAAATGACCTGCTGAAATTCAAACCAAGCGTCAGAATGTGAAAGAAAGGCAATTTAAGTGACAGTTATGTTTGTTGATGCCTGAGTATTTCAGAAACGGCTGGGATTTTGTCACACAATCATCTCTGGATTTTATGGAGAGAATCCAGGAGAATGGTTCCAAAGAAAGCCAAACTATCCAGAGAGCAACAGTTCTCTGGGCTAAAATACATTGTTGGTGAGATCAGAGGAGAATGGCCAGACTGCCCTGGGCTAATAGGAACAGCATTAACTCAAATAACCACTTGTTAAAACCAAGGAAAGCAGAAAAACTTTGAAAGCTTGAAACTGGTTGGCTTCAACAGTAGAAGACCACACAGCAATCAACCGTTGCAAGCTGAAAACAAGAAACTGAGGCTTGATTTTACAAGGGCCCACCAAAACTAGCCAACAGAAGTTTGGAAAAATGTTGCCTGGTCTGATGAGTCTTGATTTCTGCTGCAACGTTCACATGACAGAAACATGAAACCATGCATCCATCCTTCTTAACCAATGGTTCAGGCTGTTCAACCTAATGGTATAGTGGATATTTTCTTGGCACACCTAGGGTTCCAACAGTTCCAAATGAGTACCATCCATGGACTTGACTATAGTGTACCTATCTTCTGATGGCTGCCTCCAGAAGGAAAACAGTGTCAAGAGGCTCAAATTATCTCTATCTGGTTTGATAGATAGATATTTTTGGTTGTGACAACACTGCACTGAAATGGCTTCCAAGCTATCACGTCAATAAGAACTAACATCTCTTAGCACTTGGAAAAATTAATACAGTTCTGACAGCAAAATGGAGTTCAATCCAATACTTGCAATGTATACCTAACAAAGTGTCCAATGAGTGTACATTAAACTATTAAATACACTGCTAATCATACCTAATATATCGGATACCTTTTCTTTCTGTATGTCCCCTTTCCTCCCTTCCATGTCTATGTTCAGATGAGGTTGTTATTCTGTGGCCATGAGTTTCATGCACATGTCCCTCAGGCTTGTTGTGTCCATGTTCAGATGCTCTATGGCCATGAGCTTCTTCTACATGTCCCCCATGCTCATGTCCATCATGGTTATGATGTCCATGTTCAGTTGTTGGTTTGTGGCCAATAGCTTCTACTAAATGTCCCCCACGCACATGGCCCTCAGGCTTGTGGTGTCCATGTTCAGTTGTAGGTTTGTGGTCATGAGCTTCTACTACATGTCCAACATGCACATGTCTCTCAGGCTTGTGGTCTCCATGTTCAGATGC